CCTAATAGCAGCCACCAAAATCTTGGTTTGCCTTTTCTGACTCTCCTCCTGCCTTTTTTGGCTTTCTTCAAATTTCTCTTCATCTCTCCTTACATATACCTTTTGAGCTTCTCTTAATAATTCGTCCAAACCTCTGTCTTGCCAGTCCTCAATCTTTTCTAGTTTCTTACGGATATCCTCCCATGATCCTTGTACGAATCTCATTTTTAGCATAGCCTGTCCCATAACATTACTTGGATCCAGGCCAGAATATAGTTGGAAACTTTTCCTTAACCTCTCTAACCATTCAGTAGGAGGTTCATCTCTATTTTGATATTCTTTAAAGGCTTTGCTAATATTTTGCCCTCTTGGGACTGATTCTCTTATGCCTCGTACTATAATATCCCTGAGATCAGCCATGTGGTCTCTATCTCGGGGATCTTGGTTATTCCAATTAGGTCTCTGGAGAGGCCATTTTACATCAGCTGCTGGACCTTGTTGGTGCCTTTGGTCCCAATTTTTCATTCCTGCACTCCTAATCATTCCCCGTTCTTCTACCGTAAATAATATTCCTAGTATTGCCTGCAACTCATCCCACGTATATATATTTGGACACAGAAATTGATCAAACTTCTCAGACACGCCTATGGGATCATCTAACAAACTTCCCATCTCCTTTTTAAATGCTCTTACATCCCCTGAATTTAAAGGGACTGAAACGAATCCTATGCTGCCCTGTCTTCCTGGCATTACAGCTTCCCTTAAGGGGTAAAGTTGGGCTTGTTGTGTGTATGAGGAGATCGTCGGGGCCGGAGACTTCCACTGACTAGGCTGTGGGACAGCCAAAGATAAAATGTCAGTGTTTTGTCCCTCAGCTATGAGTGGAGGTTCTGGTTCCCTCGGAGGTGTGCACGACATAGCAGATTCCTGTGCTTGGACGGACACAGGGTACAAAGTGTCAGTGCCCCGTACCCGGACAGAAGCAGGAAACGGGATGGGGGAGTCCCGCGCCTGGGCGGAGACATGGGACAGAGTGGCGGGCTCGAGTGTCTGGGCGGGTGCAAACGATTTAACATATTCCTGCGCCTCATCAAGATATGGAGTTGTCGTTTTAGTCAGGGTATTTGGGATGAGTACATCCCAATGTCCATCTTGGACTGAATTATAGCCCGGAGACGACCAACTAGGCTTAGGCGTTGGCGAAATGTATGGTGGGGGTAAATTACACATATTCCCTTGTCCTTTCTTTCCCCTCAAAAGAAACAAGTGATCCCGAGTATCTGACCTCATCCACAAGCTTGCATATTCGCTCTCCTCCACATTAAATGGTTCCTTACAATTTACGTAAACACTTAAAGCCTGGCAAATCCAATCCTCAAAAGCACCATATACCGGCCAGTACACATGATTCTGACTGATCTGTCTACCTCCCCACACCTCCATGCAATAATTCACCATCTTCTCCCTCGATTTTCCTTCTCTAGAGGGATAATCATTCCAATATTTAATTATTATCCCTAAAGGACTGTCCTGTGGAATGTTTGGCAGTCTTGCAACAAGCTCGTTCTTAACATATCTGTCCCCTTGGGAAATATCATGAGACTTCTCCTCGAAACTGTTCATCCTAGTCTCAACTTTAAGTTCCTCCTCATTTTGAGGAATGCCTTGCTGTATCTTACGACCACCCATGGGAACAGAAAATTTACTTTTCTTCTGTCCCATCTTCTGAAATGCCTTCTCTCACGCACGCACACACACACACACTCGCTTCCCTTCTTTCGTGGCCCGGTCCCTCGCGGGATTCGGAAACCGCACTACTGGAAGGTCCACACTCGCTTCGTCCGACGGACATCTCAGTTATTCGCGTTCCAGGATCCCCTTCCCACCGAAAAGGGATTCCGCAAAATACTTACCTCTCCCTGGGTAAGTCTTCGTTTAACTCCTCGCCAAACGGTCCCTTCCCCAACCAGACGGAACTCTCTAATTCACTCACTCTGCTGAGTAAGTCTTCGCTCGGCTTCAAGCCGAGCGGCCCCACCCAGCTCCAAGTCGGGCGGGGTCCCCTAATCAACTCGCTCTTTCCCCGAGCAAGTCTTCGCCTGGATTTCGTGCACGAAAAATTACGGGGAACTGCGGTAGTTTATTTGCTTCTCTGCCTTCGAAATCTTGGTCGGATATTGGGAATCTGTATCGCTGGAGTCCCTCTGGAGCCGTCCAATAAGGACGGGGGCGCCCTCCTGGAGGGAGAATCCTGCTGCACAGGGATCCCAATCCGAGTCACGGCGCCAAATTGTTATAGTCAAAAATGACAAAAGATAATTTTAAAAATTATGAGATTTATTAAAGGCAGATAAACAAAACAGCGTGCTGGGCGACTGGAGGAAACTCTTTTCCTCACCGGTCTGCAGCGTGACAGACCAACGGTCAATCTTTTATACCCCCCTCTTTTCTCCACCCCTTGAGTCTCTGTCGATTATCTTATTGGAGTCCATTTCGCGGGCTTCTCCAATATTGGTCCTTGTTTCGCGGGCTTTTCCAATATTGGTCCTTGCTTCGCGGACTTTTCCAATATTGGTCCTTGCTTTCGCGGGCTTTTCCAATATTGGTCCATGCTTTCGCGGGCTCCATCTCGCCATCTAAGTTCAGCCAATGAATTGGTTAAACCGTAGTCCTCAGAGGCTGCCTTGTGGAAATTTCCAGAAGGGGGAGGGGGTCGAGTCCTTTCTTCTTAGCTCTTGCTACCATCTCCTTTTTCCTCTAATATGAATATGCCCAAAGTGGAAACTCGTGGAATACAAGACATACAAATTCATGACAATTACACAATCAACCATACGATTATTACAATGCTGTAACTTTCCCATTTGTAATTGCCCACTTCATAACAGAGAACACCCTTGTGAGCACAGTCCTTGCCTGGCTCATTGTAACAAGCATAATTAAACTTTAACTCCCTGATTTGATGAGCATATTACACTTTTTGCTCAGTATTACCTATTACAAGCTCAGCCAGGGTGCCCCCCCTCCATTTCTGGGGTGTCATCCCCCCCTTGAAGGAGATCAGCTCAGACTTGGTGGGGAGCTACGTCCTCAGCACTCACCAGGAAGGATGTGGGACACAACGGGAATCCCAGGAAAACCTGACACCACCCAGCTCTCAGGTTGCAGGGAGTGCCCGAGAAGTGTGTCTGGTTCACTCAAGACAGCTAAGTTCAAGTTCATGATTTCCAGGAATCTCAGCAGGTCCCATCCGTCTCTCCAGACCCTAACACTGCTCCTGTGCACCATCCCGTAGAGCAATAAGCACAGAACAAGAAATCTTCCTTCCCAGTAAGGCCCACAGCCTGCTCTTCTAAACAGATGCCCAGAGCACCTGCTGGGAACCACCTCTGTTAGACCCTGGCTCTCCCTTTAGCTCCTAAATGATCCTCACCCTTAAACCCATAGAACTTCCCTAGGACAAAATGCAGAGCACAGGGATACCCATTCAGGCTGGTGGGGAGAAGGACTTACAGCCCAGCTCAGCCTCTGATAACAGGTGAAAGAAGTTCAGAAATACATTCAGTTGTGGCTGGAAACTGATGATAAGCAAGAAAAAGGAGGAAATAAGTTAACATTCAAATATAGCTTAATTTCTTTGTTGTAAATGAAAGGCAAGATAGCAACCTTGCAGAAAATATTCCTAAGGGCATTTTTCTGTGATTCCCTTAAAAAGCAATGGTGCCTGGAAGTCAAAAGCCTGAAGTGCTGGGGCTAGGGGCCATCAGCTCTTTCTTGAGTGCTGTTGTTCACTTTGTTTGTTCTTGTGTAAAAAACAGATTTAGAAATCGCCATCACAATTTATGGTTATAAAATTTGTAAGGCAACCCTAGGCTGGTTAAATCCAAGAGCTAGGTGAAATCCAAACGGCAAAGTCCTCTCAAGACACATCACAGCATGGCACTTGAATAATTCAGTTTCAGCAAAACAAATTTAAATGCAGAGTAATCTCACAGACAGGTGTAAAGGTGTCCAGAATTTGGAAAAGGCAAACAGGGCTGTCGACAAAGCCTGAGTTGAATTTACCTAAACAGGCTTTCCTATCCTGCTTACCTGCACAAGTGTAAGCAGCAGGATGAAGAAAGGGATCATTCCCCTTTAGAAAGCTGCTTCCTTCATTATGTTTTTCTGGAGCCAAAAGCATCTGAGGAGGCACAGACTCCCAGCATGGTTTGCTTCTTGGTAAAGACAATGCTCATATCTCTGGGGACAGGGAACCCAAGCCAGGTGACATGAGGCTGCTGTGCCAACTCCCCTCTGCTTGGGACTTACACTGGGCAGACAGTAAGGAGAACAACACACAGTCAAGTTCCTCTTGCCTCACCATTAACAATTTATTAACCTGTCAGTCTTCCAGCTCTGATTATGAATGCCCAACGACACCACAGCCTGAGCAGAGGCACTTGCTGTGTGCTAGGGGAAGGCTGGAGCCCTGGGGCCCAGGCTGTGCCCCGATGCCAAACCACCCCAGGGCTTCCTGCTCCAGCTGGCCCTTCTCCAAAGTGGGAACGATGGTGGTGACTTCACCTCTGAGGTGCTGGGAAGCCAAGTGCCATCAGCTGGGGGACAAACCCATCAGAAAATTGAGTGAAGCACTCCTTTTTCCCACATGTCTGGGTGAGGACAGGTGCCCTTCCCCTCCCAGCACAGGCTCCAGACAGCGCTTTAAAGGCTCTCACTGGCACCCTCAGTACAGCTCAGCAAGGATTGTGCGGGGCCTCCCATCATAATGCTGGGCACAGGGGAGGCCCCAAATCCCACACTCTTGGTATACAGCCAGCCAGCCTGGGAGGAGAAAGGCAGCCTTGCTCTACTCAGGATGAGGGTCTGTCCAGATGTGGAACACAACACAGCTTGGCAGCTTTCTCAGATCTTCCAAATGCTTTGAAAAGGCACTTCGCTCCCCATCCCGGGATGGAGAATATACCTGGGAAAAACCTTAAAAAGGGAATGTTTAGAAGAGGTTCAACAGCAAGCAGATGCTCTGCAGCGCCGGGGCAGCAGCTCTCCCTGGCAGAGGCAGCAGTCCATGTGCTAAGGTCAGCACTGAGACATCCCACACAGCACACACCCCCGTGGTCCCACGCAGCTGCCGGTACCCAAGCCGAGTCCAAGGCCCTGGCATTCCCAGTGGCCCAGGTTCAGGCAGACACAGTTTCCTGCACAGCCTGACCTGCTCCATCCCGGGGCCCCAGCCCAGCTTGCAGCTGCCCAGCCAGGGGGCTGTCGGGGTGCAGGCGGCAGAACCGGCCCAGTGCCCAGATGGGGAAGACGTTGCGGTACGAGGTGTAACTGATGGCACACGACTTGTTGAACACCCCGGCAATGTTCTCCTGGAGGAGAAGCAGAGAGCAGAACGGTGTGAGTGACACGGGACTGCGGGGTGTTCAGGAACCCCTTGGGAAGACTAAAGACGTACCTGAGGCCAGTCCCCGTTGGGCAGCTGCTTATCAATCAGCACTTGAATGCCCCTTTCCAGCACGTCGACATCAGGGTACCTGCAAAGCACAAGGGAGATGTGAGCACGCTCACCCAAACCATCTGCAACACCCCATCCATGTGCTTGGGGAACTCAACCACCTCCAGGCTGCCCCAAACTTGTCCCAGGCATGCTTTGGGAATGGGCCCTCCACAGTCCCAGGACTCCAGACATTATGAACATGGAACGTTTTCCCAGGCTGAAGGCCTGTAGTTGTGATCAAAACCTTTGCTTTGCATTGGCCCAAGACCCCACAACCCAGCCTGCAACTCCCATCTGCCCGAGCACTTGGGGCGAGGTGGGGGGCAGCTCCTACCTGACAGCCATGAGCCCCAGCAGGGCCCAGCAGGTGTTGTGGATCTGAGATTCGGCACTCTGCACGTACGTGCGCTGCTCGCAGGACTCGAAATCCTCTCCCCACCCACCATCTGCCATCTGCTTGGAGACGAGGAACTGGCAGGCCTGGGCCACCTCTCGGCACGCAGCCCTGCAGGGATGGGGCACAGAGTCAAGACAGGACTGGGGACAGGCAGCGTTTGGACACCCACGGTTCTCAGCTGCGAAGAGCAGCTGTGCCCTGGCCCCACTGCTCCTGGGAGGAGCAGTCCCTGAGGCAGGAGAGTCCATGCACAGCAAGGACATTCCCCCAGCCCCACCATGGAGTCCTGCCTGGGCCCAGGAGGCAGGCAGGGCCAGGGCACCCAGACAGCCCCTCCTCACCCGTCACGGTACGTGTGCTCCATGCAGGCAAACGCCTCCAGACCGAACCAGGTGCCATAGGTGAAGCAAACCCCCCAGCTCCTAGGAGGAAGGGGAGAGCAGCACTGTCAGGGGTGTGAGGCCCCAGGTAGAGGCAGGCTGTGACATGGCTGTGTTCACAGAACAGCAGAGCCCGGCACAGAGCCACAGCCTGCCTTCCCCTATGGCACAGCCCTCCCCAGTCCCACCAGCACCTGCTCCCAGCCAACCCAGGTGTCAGCAGAACTGGGACCACCCTGACCCCCCCAAGGCTTCTCGGGGTCTCGTGCAATGCACAAGCTACCTGCTCCCCCTGGGCTAGAGGGAGAGTAACGGAGAGCAAAGCACAGCAGCTGGAGGAGGATCAGCCCCTGCTTCCCCTCCCACAGATCCTGCCAGCCAGGAATGCCTGCCATCATGATCCCTCTCACTCTGGGGCAGCCAGAAGGAAACTGGGCACTGGGAATACCGCTTACCCTTCCCAGGACCCATCCGCTCGCTGCGTCTTGCGACAGAAATCCAGGCCCTTCCGCAGAGTCTCCCTGGACAGGAGAGAAGCCACCCACTTCAGAAGCAGCTCAAACTCAGTGTCTGCTTCACTGGGAGCTCCATCAGCCCCTCTGAGGCTTTGACAGGTCCCATTATTGGAGGGCAAAAGAGGCGAGAGCATGCAGACAGGCAGCTACATGGTTCACGGTTTGGAGTATCACAAGTATCCAAGCTGGCCACCACAGGGGCTGCTTCATGCCAGTGCAGAGATCCAGGCAAGACCCCTAACAGGGATCAGCAGGGCAGCTTGAGAAGTGCAGCCTGTCTTCCCCCCTGCCCAGCTCCCATCCCAGTGCTTCACCTGATCTCCAGGGCTCGGTGCTCAGGGAACTCGCTCTGGAAGTGTCTCAGTGCCTGCATGACGGCCGAGGTACATTCCACGTACGTGTAGTCGATCATGATGTCACCTGACAGCAGGTGAAGGGTATCAGTGCCACAGCCCCTGCAGGCCAGTTGCTGCCAGCCTCTCCCTCAGACACCCAGCACACTGATCCTATATCCTGATCCTACCCACTGGGCACGGGGAGGCCAGGCCACTTTGTGCCTTCAGAGTGGGCAGGATAACCAGCCCCCACAGCTCCCCTTACCAAACACCTCCGAGGGGTTCAGCATCTCCAGCAAGTGGCCTCCTCGCTTGGTTTCGTATGTGGCAAAGCCTCCATCCGAGTTCCTCATGCTCAGCAACTGCCCAGGCAAGCAGAGAGGGGCTGGGACTAGCTGCTCACACGCAGCACCACCCCAGTCTGGCCCCAAGCCGGGTATGAGGACAAAGTCAGACCCATAGGTCTATGGGGCTGACAGACAACCCAGGTCCCAAACCACAGGGACAGGCAGGCCCAATCTAGGTTATCACATCACATTATGTTACGTAGGCAGCTCTGTATAACAACCAAGGGAGTGTTGCCACACCAGGCCTCAGATCTAATCAGATCTAATATCAGATCTAACAACCCCTCAGGCCTTGACTTCTCTTACAGGTTTACCTGCCTGCATGTCCCTAGGCCCTAATTTTTGCAGCACTTACCACATTCACAGCATCAAAGAGGCGCTCAGGGGGCACAAGCTTGGCTATGAAGGGGCACTTCTCCTGCAGCAGCATGACTGCCTTCAGCCCCTCTGCTGTGCAGTCTGCCACGATCCAGCCACAGTCCCGCGTGCTGAAGGGGAAGCCACCCTGGAAAGGGATCAGGTGAGCTCAGCACCTTCCCCTGACCTTGTAGGGGGGCAGGTGCTGCCTCTTATTTCCGTCCTCTCTGCCCAAATCCCTGCCCTGGTCACGAGTCCTTCGTAGGCCAGTCCCAGTCATCGTACCTTGTTCATATGGCGATAGTATTTCTGGTAGTCAGGTGGGTTCTCCGGGATCTGCAGGAGGCAAGAAACAAGTGAGGGCAGCCTGGAGGTGCCTGGCTGCAGGACCACGGGCTGAAACCATTGCAGGTGCAGAACCACGTGCAAAAGTGCACAGCACCCATCTTTCACTGAGGGAAGCAGACATGGAAGAGGTCAGCTCTGGAGCAGAGAGTGCTGAAGAGAAATCACCTTTTGGCCTGGTTTAAGCAAGTGCTGCTAAACACTTCCCCTTTGGAAGCTTTCATGCCAGGGAATCATCTGCTTTGAATGCTCCCATTGGCAACAGGGTGAACAAGACTGCCTGCATCTGCACCAAGCTGCTGGGGACAGTGACCACCACCTTGAGCCACTGGCCTGGCCAGCAGAAGCTGAGCTCATACAGTCACTAGCCAAGGGGTCTGGGTTTCCCAGAACGGTGCCTCAAATGTGTTGGTACCAGAGGGGATAAAGGGCAAAGAAGCCTAAGCCTTCAGTTTTGCAGCCTCTCTAAGCTCAGGCAGCCAACCCAAATATCCTTGGGCCTGGCCAAGGTCCTTGCCAAGCAGCAAAGATGGTTCCCTGAAAACAGGGAGCAGAAAACAGAAGGCTGTCCCTAGGACTTTGTTAGTCCAGCCCTTCAGAAGAGCTCTCTGGAAGGCAATAGATGCATCCAACAGGGTTTTGAGCAGCAGCCAAGCCTGCACAACCAGTGTGTGAGATCCCACCGAAGGGCTCTGCTCACCTGGGTGAACTGCAGGAACTCATGGGCATTCTGGAGGCAGGAGGTGAATTCAGGCATCTTCTGGGCTTCTGCCTGGAAACAGAGGCGCACAGTCAGCACTCAGCAAGGAGCTGTGGCCACCAAACATGCTCTGAGCAGACGTGTGTTTGCCTAGCTCAGTCACAGGATGCCAGGCCAGAACCGACACAGCAGAGCTCCAAAAGGGTGCACAGCAGGACCTCTGGTATTTTGGGGATGTGTGAGAGGAAAACATTTTCCCAAGGCAGCATGTAGCACTGCAGGGTGCATTACCTCCAAAAAGGCTTGGACGGCAAAGGCAGTATCCCAGAGCTGGGATCCGTTTGTGCCCTGGAAGAGAGAATGTGGATAGTGAGAGGCAGGTGCTAGCCAGCAGCCTGACCCAACTGTGGGGTCTATGGGACAGCATGTCCCTCCCACATCACACCCACTAGCTGCCTCCACCCTGTGTCTCAGTTTTGTGCCACTCAGCATCACAGCTGATGTGTTGGCACAGAGGGGACAAATGCAACAGGTCAAGGGATAGCAAGAGAACAGGAAATCAGGGAGTTGCTTCAGCCTGCTGTGTGCACAGCCAAGGCAGGAGTGCTGGCCAGCAGTAAGGAGCAGCAGGACACAATGGCTCTGAGAGAAGCAGAGTTCAGACCACATGCAGGATCAAGGGCCTGGCTTTCTCCTTCCCTTCTCCCAGGACCTGTAGGAATGAAGGAAATGGAGGCCTAGAGCTGCCCCCTCAGCTCACAGCCACAGAGAGGCAAACTAGCAGGACAGGCACTATTCCCTCCTGGTACAGCCAGTGGAAGTGGTAGTAAGACAGAGAAAGCCACCAGGCACCAGAGGTGAGGTGCCAGGAGCTCAGGCTCGGGATGAACACACTATCCCAGTACTCCATGGGCTGCCCCAGCATGCCACAGTCCCTTCAGTCACAGATGAACTCCTACAGCACTTCACCTGCATCTTCATGCCGTCAAGGCCCAGCCTGTGGGGGGAGAGAGCACAGTGATGCAGCACAGGCAGGCACAGCAGGAGCAGCAGGAAGCAGGTCAGGAGCCCCACTGTGCTCAACCCCAAGGGATCAGAGCCCTGTGCTGTGCCAGGTGGGTCACGCTCAGCCCTTACCAGAGATAGTCCGGGATCCTGGAAACATGCTCCTGAAAAGCTGGGGAGTTCTTCCCATCCACAAACCAGCGAACCAGCATGTTGATGGTCTTGGAAATCTGACATAAGGAGCACTGTCACTGCTCTGGATAGAGCTTCTTCCAGCCCCAGAGATATATATCCCTCCCACCCAGCACAAAGCCATCCAGAGGTTGTCCTGGCCTTGATCCCAAAGGCTCCATTGCCCAGCATAGCTGAGTTAGTGGGGCAGGTGCCACGAGATTACTCCAGAGCTTCTCCTCAGATCATTTCCCTGGACCTCAAGGTCAGGTACCCCTTACCAGCTATCCCCAAGCCCTCTGCAACTCCTGTGCCCTGTTGGCCTTAAGCTCTTAAACATCAGGAGCTAAGCAAGATCTGGTGATTACTGGTTACATGCCACAAATGCAAAGCTCTGGGGAGGGGCACAAGCTGGTTCCCAAATAACAAAGGGCGAGATATTTAAAGGATTAATAGCAAATGTCCTACTGGCCCGATGCTGATGCACTTGGTGAATCTATCATCAGCTTTGATGTGGTCGTACAGCTCTGCGATGGCTCGCTGCCGCAGGTGAGTGCTGTGGTGGGCTTCATACATGTTCATGATGGCTACAGGAGAAGAAAGGGACATGCAATGAAAGCAAAAACCCACCCTGTGCAACCAGATGCACTTGCTGTAGGCAGGCTGCACGCCGGCTCACACCACGACCAGCTGAGGAAAGCACAGGAACTGCTCTGCCCCAGAGCAGCCCAAGGACCTGGGCACAAGGCCCCGCTGCTCTCAGGGAGGGAAAAGCCCACGGATCACATAATCCACGTCTCCATCCCAGCTCCAGAGCATACACCAGTAGCCCCTGAAGAGCCCCCACGGTGCAAGGCTGGTCCAGCTGCACGAGCAGCAGCAGAGAGTGGCAGGGGACGCGCTCACCGTAGGCAGCGTCCAGCAGCCAGCTGTGCGGGGTGTACACGTCACAGGCAGCCACGTTGTTCCTCTGCGCTGGCCAGTCTATGCTGGCATAGTCCTGCACGTACAGCTCCTGGCACGGGACAACACCGGGCATCAGCCTGGAAAGCTGGGAGCAAGCGCCCAGGAGCAGCTACTCTGCCGCCTGACAGAGGGACCGCGCAGGGACGAGAGCTGCCACTTGGCAAGCCAGAGGCTGGCCCACAAGGACCAGGCTGGCCAAGCACAGCAGGCGGTCACAGGGCCATGAATCCTTCTCCAGCAGGATCAGTCCCTTCCTCACCTGTCGCAGGCTCCGTACGAGCTCATCCTCTTCCGCTGACAAACGCTTGGCGTAGCAGTAGCTCATGGGAAGGTAAACCTGGCGACAGTGACACCAGAGCCGGGACGGGTGGGCTGGGAACCACGTGGGAAGCAGCCTGAGAGCAACAGAGAGGGTGCTGCTGTGAGGAACAAGGAGGGCCTAGGGCAACGTGGAGAGATGGTGTGCAGAACACCCAGAGCAGGGCACATCTTTCCCTGTCTCCTGCACCAGGGGAGGTAAACACAGCCTGGCCCTGCTCAGATCCCCCCCCAACAGGGGTGCTCCCTCCACACCAGGGCCAGCAGACACTGTTCCTGGCCCAGCTGACAGAGGGCAAGGAGGACCCTGAGCTCAGAGAAGAGGGAGGGAGAAGCCAGTTCAGTCATGTAGGACTTGGAAGGCAGAGGCCCAGATTGACAGTTACTGGCATTTGATGACAAAGCACCAGCAACCCTTGGTCCTGTGCAGCCCTTGATTTCCCCCAGAGGTAATGTCATGCACTTTCCTTCTCTGACACCCAGCAGCCCTCTGAGTAATCAGAGAGAGTACAGGTGAGGGTTAGGGCTGGCAGCCTTACATGTGGCTGTCCCCTTCCGCTAAGGGCCCACTTCTGGCTGGCCAGAAGATCCTGGTGACAGGCAGGGAGCACACAGATATATCAGGGACCCCATGGGTAATGCTAACAGGGCTGAGCTCTGGCACCTCCCTTCTGTGCAGTGTTCGGTGCTATCCACCCACTGGCTGGCCTGCTGCTGGCTCCCAGCTGACGAGCAGCCTGAGCACCTCCAGTTCCAAACCACAGCTGGAGTTATCCCAGCAAACATCAGTGCCTGGGACAGTTCTGGGTCGAGGTTGGTGGCAGGACTGACAACATCTCCTCCCTCCACAGCGAGGGGGGCACATACCACATCTCTGGGAGAAGCGTGTTCATTCCCTCCCAGCTATAAACGTTCAAGACAGCCAGCCAGAACTTGCCCCAGGAAGGGATTCCCACAGCACCTCCTGCAAAGAACAATATCAGCTTACAGGGTTAATGCAGCCATGCCAGCTCCCTTCTTTCTTCCCGATCACAGGGCCCATTTCTCCCCATATTTGGGAACACACCGCTCAGGCTGTGACACACATCCCAAAACAGGGCAAGCAGGTAAGGATACAAAACCACAATACAGCTTCCCACCACTAACTGAAAATATAGGTGCCATCAAGGGCAAGCAAGAGCAACAGTACTTCTACTACCTGGCAGCCCCCCATGATCCATGCTGCCCCCCACGTTCCATGCAGCCCCCAGGTCCAGTCAGACCTCTCTCCCCACTGTCCCAGCCCCACAGCTGACCTTTGCTGTGCAGGTTGACACGGGCCCGCACGATGTCAGGGTCATCCGGTCCAAGCCCCAGGATCCTCAGGGCTATGTAGTTGAGTGCTGTGCCAAACACCGTTGATTTGTCTTCCACGTGCCTGTCAGGCACATACACAGAGACACCAGAGCCATTAACCAGCTACTGACATGAGCCAGACATAACCCAATGCACAGGGCTGTCTGTGTCGGGGTGAAGTGGGATGCCAGGGGTGATTGCGAAAAAGGAGGAGCTGACTAATCCAGGAAGAAACATTGCTCTGCACTACCCAGTCACACATGATACTCTGGGATGTAGTGACACAGAGGAGATATGGCCAGACTTGATGCTCTCTGGCCAGACTTGGCCATCCCTGTGACAAGCAGTGTACCTGAAGTGCTGCACAACCAAGTCCAACCACTCAGAGCTATCGCAGGTGCCAAGCCCCCCTCCCTGAGCCGGGGCAGATCTGACAGCAGCTCTCCAAGCCTTAGAGAGGCGATTCCTCAAAGAAGTATGTTTGCTACTCACAAGCCCCAGCCTCCGTCCGGGAGCTGCACAGAGCGCAGGTAGCGGATCATCTCCTTCCGGAACGCCTCCGGCAGCTGGATTTTGGCCGTGTGGCAGGTGATGAGGAGACCTGGAGGACCAGACGGGGCCGGCACTGTACAGAGCCGAACCACATACCCACCCCCGGGCAGGTGCCCCAGGCCTACCTGGCAGCAGGAACAGCGGCCCGCCGTAGTCGCCCGCCCAGTGCCCATCCTCGGCCTGCAGGGCCGCGTAGAACCGCATCCCCCTGCGGGCCGCCTCCCGGGCCGAGCCGGCCGCCGGCAGCGGGGGCAGCGCTGCGCCCTGCGGGGAGACAGCGGCACCTTAGCGGGGCGCCCCGGCAGCGGTCCCGCCGCCCCGGCCCGGGCCCCCCGCACCGTGTCCAGCCCGAGGCTGTGCTGCTCCAGCGCCGTCTGCGCCCGCGGCTCTCCGACATCGCCATCGCCATCGCCCAGGTAGCGCCAGCGCTGCCGCCCGCCCTCGCAGCGCAGCCGCCAGGCCGGCAGCTCCGTGGCCGCCGCCGAGCGCCGAGGGCCGCCCCGCCGCCGAACCGCCCTGGGGGACACGGGCACCCTGAGCCCCGCGGGGACCGCGCTGCCCGCCGCCACCGCCGCGCCCCATCCCGACCCCACCGCCGGGACCCATCCCGACCCCACCGCCGGGACCCACCCGCTGCCCGCCGCCATCGCCGCTCCTGGTCCCGGTGCTAATCCCAATCCCAATCCCAATCCCAGTCCCGATCCCGCTCCCACCGCCGGGGCCGCGCCGGGGCCACCTGGTCCCACATCTCCTCACGGGCGGCAGCCAATGGGGAAGCGAGCCCGGGCCGAAGCCCCGCCCCGGCCGTCCCGAGGCCCCGCCCCGGCCGTCCCCTCACGGCTCCTCCCGCCCCGCGTCCCTCATGGCCGGCCCGCAGCGGGCAGGGCCGGCCTGTCCCGGGAGTCTGACCCGGCCTCAGGGACCGCGCTGCTCCCCCGAGACTGCACACCCCGACAGCCCTCCTGTCCCTCGGGGGAACAGCGCCAATCCCCAGAGCGACTGTCCCCACGTCCGTGCACCCCCAACGCCCAGCCCGTGGTTTCCATCCTTAATAACAAACCGGGGTGCCCAGTCCGTGTTTCATCAGCCCGTCAAAGCCCCTCGGCTCAGGACGGCTCCCTAAAAGGAGCCACAGACGCTGTCAGGCACACAGGGGTGTAAATCCCAGAGATGCTGTATTTGCTGGGTGGGATTTTAAGGAGGACTTGGCTAAAGGGAGCAGTAAGATTTATTTCTGCTGCCTTTTAGAGTGACCTGGCTTCTCACTCTTTCAGGGTGCCACAGAACCGACACCAGATCAAGCTTAGCTGGTGGAAAAACCACTCCATGTCTGTGCACTGCCTGGCACAGCCACCCCCAGGGACCTCAGGGGGCCCAGGGGTCATAAAATCACAGAATTAACTGGGTTGGAAGAGACCTCTGAGATCATCAAGCCCAACCCTTGATCCAACATCACTGTGATGAAAGAGCTGCTCCCAAATGTGGCACCCATCAGCATCCCAGGACAGAAACATGCCTATCTCTCAGTACTAACATAACACTTAATACTTACAGTATATAATGCACACTACAAGTCGAATTTAAATTGCTCCTCTGCTAGCAAATAGCTCTTCATGCTTGTCCAGCGTAACCTCAGGGATTATTTGGAAAGGATACAGTAATTCTATTTGTGAATTAAAGAATTAATTTGGTGTTTATTTTATAAATTAGGCTTATTTTTGGTTTAAGAAGAAAAAAAATTGTCATAATGAATCTGCCTCAGATGAGCTTCGTGTAACTATCTCCACTTCCTTGCAGATGCCAGAATCTCTAGATAATTTACAGTAATGTTTTCCTAAAGGCTGTGGTGAAAGATGAACCTTGGTTTTATTTTTCTGTCTTTATACAACCTGCCTGCCTTAGAAATTTTTAATAACTGCCAAACTGCTGTTACCCTCAGCATTACTTTTATACCAGTTTTTCTATGTCTGGCCCTCAGATGAATTCAGCCAGAGGAACAAGCTCACCTCTGGCTGCTGGGTTTGTAGCTTCAGACATGGAACTCAGTGCCCATGGATGGAGCTGGAGAACCTGCTCTCCACAGTGCTGGGACTGTGAGCGCTGCAGAGGCAGAAGCAGCTTCTTCACCCTCCCACCCAAATTCCTCTCCTTTCATTGCTTTTTTTTTCCTCCCCTTTCAGTGACTGCTGGCCTTTGTCTCGTGGTCTGGCAGAGCCTGGTGCCACGCACACCAGAGGGACAAAGAAATAGGCTGGCTTGTCTCCCCAAGCCTGGTATGAAGAGCCCACGTGTTTTACCACAGAGAGCGAGACAGGCAGAGGGCTGAAGTGTTTTGCTCGGCCTTGGGCACTGTAAAACCCCCTTGTTTCTTTAAACACATCACACCAAAGTGCTGGCCAGGAAGCACTGACTCTCTGAGGAAAGGAGCCCCAAGATTACGCTCTCCTGATCAAAGATCTGGACACAAATTTTAAAATAACAGAAGCGGCTCTTTGGGCAGCACTGAAAGCACAGCCAGCTCGCAGCCCCCCACCCATGCCCAGACCTCCTGGTCAGGGATGACCCAGGAGACCAGTGATTGCTAGGATATGAGCCTGGACAAAGATCAGGGAAGTCACTTGGAGCTGCTCATTAGCAGAGTCAGGAAAGGGTCAAGGTTTTTGGTGTTTCTACCTGATCCTGCTGCTCCTTCCCATCTCATCAGCAGATTATTCCAGATCATGCCTGTAAAATACAGAAGTCAGAATGATTTGGGAGTGAAATACACAGTAAAAATCATCAGGAAAGGGTATTTCAAGACTGTTCAAGTTTTGATCTGTCAAATGCTAATTTTTCTGTTCCATTTTAATAAAAGGTCACCTTCCAGAATGACATCAGAAAATGGTTTAAAGAAGCTGAGCTAGGACCTCATCTCTGATTAGAAATGATGTGCTTTAATGCATTTCTTGGCTAAGGACTGAGCTAAGAGATCTACCAGATCAAATTGCCATCAGCAGGGAAAAATACTGTTTCTTTCCTGCTGACAGAGAGCCCCATTTATAGCCAGCTCTCACATGAATGCAAATATCCGTGGAAAAAATCAATCAGTGCAAGACTGTTGACAAACTCCCTCTGCACTAGAAACACCACTGCCTAAAAGCATCCCTGCTGTCCCTGCCAGTCCAACCAGAGCACAGATAACTGGTGTAGGTTGCAATGCCATAATTGCAAGAATTTCAGGGACCAGGTAAATATTTAGAGTCAACATACTCAGACTTAAGGCTAGGGAAATTATTTTTTTCCCAAACCAGTGTTTGAACCTGTTACGAAAGCTTTCAAGAGCTGATGTGAGGAAATGATCAATGTAGATGGGTTTCTTTCACACCAGTATGTGAAAAAGTTTTTAAGTAACATGGTAGGTGGTGTCTCAGTAGATATGGGGAATGCAGGAACCGTCAGGAAATGTGTCTGTCCAGCAACCTGGTGTTGCCTCTTCAAAGGGACTTCTTTTTTTTATAAGAGGTCCAGACCTTCATCCCACCTCACAAGCATATATATAAGGCTCTTACCCTTTCCACATTTCTCTGCAGGAGCTGAATGTGGCAACAGAATGGGCTCTTCATCCTGGGCACTGCTCACCCATCTTCTTGGTTAGCAGGAGTGCCCTGTTCTGAGTCACACAGTCTGAAATCCAGCAAAGGCCTCCGACAGAAAGCAATTACTGATCCTGTGCTGCACTGAAAAAGGTGTAAATGGCAACATGCTACAATAGTAATATCAGACAGCTTCAACTTTGGCTCATACCATCTTGTTCCTGGGAAACAGGGTGGCTTTGCAACGAAACACAGTGAAACTTACTTTTTTCAGCATGTTTTCTGTGTTTATTAACCATTTGCTTGTCCTGTGCCACTGGGAACAGCCTGGGTGAAAGATGGTGCTCGCTGCTCTTGCTGTTTGCCACCTGCTCCCCTCCACATTCCCCTTGCCTGCTGGGCTGCCTGCCAGCCCCCACACAGCCTCACCTCCGTCGGGTCTGTGCGCAAAAGCCTGCGAGGGGGGATCTCCGGTGGAAAGGAAACTTCCAGCTCTTGGGTTTAGACAAAAGCGCATTTAATGCCGATTCATGGTGGCTGCTGGGGCTGGCAGGGGACTTGTGAGCAGTGCCACCCACGCGGCGGTGACACGGACAGCAGGTACACGCAGGCAGGAGAGGGGGCAGAGAAGACACAGCCGGGAGAGAGTCTCAGGGGTGCACAGCGAAGGGACAAAGGGCAGCAGCTGCTCCCCCGTGGGCTGGCGGCGGGTCAGCGCCACTGCGGGCCCGCAGCCCGGCCGGGACATCCCCGCCTCCGCCTGCCATTGGCGCCTGGGGCTCCCCCCCTCCGGCATAAGAAGGCAGCGAGTCCCGGGGGCGCCCGGCCAGAGCGCAGCGCTGAGCCACAGCCCCGCCGGCAGCAGGGAGGTGAGAGGGGCCGGGGGATGCCGGGCGGGGGCACCGAGCGCTGCGGAGCCCAAACTTCGCTCCTCAGCCTTGCGGAAGGGGAAGGAGGCGTGCAAAGGGCTCTTAAGATGCGCCCATGAAGCGCTTCGGGAATATTTCCTACCTGACTGGAAACAGTCTTTCTGTTTGGACACCGACTGCTGCGCTGGGGAAGGACGTCAGCTGGAGAACAAGGCAGCGGGATGAGTTTCAGTGCCTTGTGGTGGAGAAACAGGAGCCAGGTCACAGGGCAGGAGATATTTTTACCTGTGGGGTATGAACGAACAGAGTGCCATTAGGTTTTTTTTTCCCCCCAGCTTTTGGGAAGGTGGTTTTGCATGTCTCCCTTTTTGGTTTGTCTGTTTGTGAAATCTGCAGGAAACGCTGCAGTCCCAAAGATTATCATTCCCAGGAGGGTCCCCAGATCAAGTGAGGGAGGAGGGAGGTCAGAGAGGTGCTTATTTTGTCCTACTGGCACTCATCAAAACTGTCTCCTACCTGGTTCTCCTGACTGCTCGGCTGGAGGCAGGTCTGCAGGCAAAGGTATAGGTGAGGCTGCCTGTGACAGAGGGGACAGCAAACCCTTTCTGAAGCTCTGTGGGCAGAAATGAACCCCTGCCTGCCCCTATCGTCGTGTTGTGGTTCTGTGTTTCTCGAGAGCCCCTGGAAGCCGAGTCGCGGTCTCTCGGAAGCTTTTCCCCTGCAGCCAGAGTGGCTGCCAGTCCTTCCCAGCAGAAGGCTTTAAGCACAGGGGCTGGTTTTGCTGATCCAGGTGGCCGTGCTTCCAAAGCAAAAGGAATTGCTGGAGCTCGCCCAGGTTAATGTCCTGATTGTCCCCTCTGACCTCAGGGCCACACCTTAACCATGTCTGAGCTGGAGAAGGGCATGATCGCCATCATCGATGCCTTCCACCAGTACTCCGGGAAGGAGGGGGACAAGAACAAGCTGAAGAAATCAGAGCTGAAAGAGCTCATTAACAACGAGCTGACCCACTTCCTCAGTGTAAGTACTGCCCTCCTCACAGCTCGCCTGGCTGGGCTCAGGTGGCATTAAGCAGCCTCCACACTCCACTAACTCTGTCTCCCGTGGGAAGCAAGAGCAGAGGAAGTTTATCCACAAGTCAGGGTGTTAAATGTGTTGCTCCAGCTCTGCAGAGCAGCAGGACAAGCACAACAGCCTGCATGGCAGGCTGGGGTGAGGGTTGAGTACGAGGGAAGTTTCCTTCCCTGGGATGGGGAGGCAGCCTCGCCCCAAGGGGCTCAAGATGTCCCTTCCCAGCAGCACAGCTGTGGCTGCAGTTCCCAGAGGCACAGGGCAGTGCCCCAGCACAGACTGGAAACGATGTGTTTGAACACAGATTCAGCCATAAGAGCGCCCGAGAAAGGGGGATATGTTGTCACTGTCTGGGCCTCCCTCTGGTCCTCCCCAGCTTTGGCTGCCTGTTTCTATCCCTTCAGGAGATCAAAGACCAGGAGACTGTGGACAAAGTCATGGAGGCACTGGACAGCGATGGGGATGCTGAGTGCGACTTCCAGGAGTTTGTAGCCTTCATTGCCATGGTCACTGCCGCTTGCCACGAGTTCTTCGAGCACGAGTGAGCTGGTAGAAAGGAGGCTCTCTGCTGGAGAGATGCAAGGCAGCATCGCTCCTCTGGGGAAAGGACTGGGTGTGACTACAGGCTCCTTAGAGTTCAGCTTGTGCTAGACTTCAGCAGCTTATTTAATTCTGCAGCTTTGTGAAACAAAGAAACACCTGCACAGCACAGGAAAGCCTGTCGGGCAGTCCCCACCAGGCTGGAGGCAGTGTGTGAGTGCCTTGTCTCAAGCTCCTTCCCTGCTGTTGTAAGCCAGGAATGTGCACAGGGCTGGAAGCAGGCAGACACTGTGATCCAAGCTTGCTTACAAAGGAATAAGGGAAATTTAAGGGCTGAAGAAGGAGGTTATGCAGAGGGGTTGGTTGTGGAAGCCTGGTTCTGAGCCCACTGGTCTGAACAGGAATCATAGAATCAGATGGGTTGGAGAGGACCTCTAAGATCATCAAGTCCAACCCTTGATCCAACACCACTGCAGTTACTAGACTATGGCATTAAATGCCACAGCCAGTCTCAAACACCTCCAGGGACAGAGAATCCACCCCCTCCCTGGGCAGCCCATTCCAATGCCTGATGACCCTTTCTGTAAAGAATTTCTTCCTGATATCCAACCTGAACCTCCCCTGGCAGAGCTTGAGACGGAGCCCTCTTGTCTTATTGATAGTTGCCTGGAAGAAGAGACCAACCCCCACCTGGCTACAACCTCCTGTCAGGGAGTTTTAGAGAGTGATGAGGTCTCTCCCCTGAGCCTCCTCTTCTCCAGGTTAAACAACCCCAGCTCCCTCAGCCTCTCCTCATAGGACTTGTGTGTAAGTGCCTTCACCAGCCTGGCTGCTCTTCTCTGGACCTGCTCCAGCACCTCAATATCCTTCCTGAACTGAGGGGCCCAGAACTGGAAGGCTCTCAGTGATTCCTGTGGGCTCTGTGCATGGCATTAACCCAGGAAACCCAGCTCCTGTCCCCTCACAGGGGCTCAGTAGAGCCCACCCATTTCTTGGCAAATTGAGACACCCTTGGCTTGCAAAGCAAAGCGTAACCATCTAAAAGCATAACCGTCTAACAGCCCAGGCTTTCCTCTTGTTGATAAATCCACCCTGCTTTTGGCAGCCTGCAGAACTGGATGCAACAGCATATGAGGCTTCCAGGCTGGGGTCAGCTCCTGGGCATGGGATGTGCCTTGTAACATGTGCAGGCTCAGTCAGAAGGGATGGGGTGATTGTGACCACAGACCAGGCACAGCCTCCTGATTGTGTGGAAGTGGCAAAAATAAAATGTGGTTTCAGTCTCTGGTGAAAAACGTGTCCTTTTGTGCCAGGCTTACCTGTACCATCAGAGGAGGAGGTTGGAGGATGCAGCCTGAAGCACTGCTAAAGCTCATGGCCCTGGGTTTCTTGTTGAACATCGACCCTTCACCTCCTCCCTGGTGTCACTGTGGCTGGCCAGACAGCTCAAGGTTGTCACCACCACCGTGTTCCATCTGGCTGCCCACACTGGCAGGTGCACCTGTGAGGACAAAGGAGGACAAAAGGACACGGCACCTCTGCAGGAGTCATCCAGGGGCCTGCGGTGGTGAGCCCTTACAAAGCCTAAACTAAGCCTAGGACAACCTCCCCAAAGTCTGTCCTCCTGCCTTTTTCAGTCTGTACCTGCTGTCCAGCTCAGCAACACCTGTGAGCTGGGCATTCCTGGCCAGCAACATCAGTAGTGACAGGTTCATGACAGAGATGTTCACAGTTGTCATTGTTTTTACCCTCATTCCCCATTTGATAACGATTTCATGCACAAAATGACATGTCTTTGGGCAGGAACCATCTTGCTGCTCTCACCTGTCTCCCCCAAGCTGTGCAAGGGGACACTCAGGTAGAGCCAGGCACACAAGAGACAGCATCTTATACCTCACCTGGCACAAAAAGCCATTTTGCCATCCCAGGGGAGTGCTCATTCGTTGAGACAGTTGAACTGTTTTCAGCACTAGTACAGAGCTGAGGCACTGTGTGATGCCAACAAATGGGGACAGACAGTGAGTGTCCTCAAGATTAGGAAGGGTGGACAGGACTCACGACCCTCCCTGGAGTCTGAACCTGAGGGTGTGACGCTTCTGTACGAGGGTCTCCAAATCTCACCTTCCTTCCGCCCCCCTGCACCAGCAGCGCTCACACGATGAGGAATCCTTCCCCAAGCCCAGGCCTGCTGAGCAGCTCCGCACAGCATTGCAGCAGCAGCAGGCTGGGACATGCAGATTGGACGCGGGCAGGGCACGGAGCAGGTTGGGCTGTCCCTGGGCAGGGCACAAGAGCAGGAGCGGGGAGTGACACGACAGGACTGCACCCACCTTTCTGGCAGTAAGGCTGCTCCTGACTCAGCAACGCCGCTGCTGGGAATTTGGAGAGGCTTCATCTGGCAAAGGAGAAGGCAGAGCAGGTGCCTCTTGTCAGAGAGGCAGAGAGTGTGTCCTCCTGTGAGGGGAGCACCATGACTAAAAACACTGCAGCGTGCACTGCTCAGGCTACTGAGCTCCTGGCATCCCTCCCTGGTCGGCAAAACTGAAATTCCTGAAACAGCCTGCATGGTCACAGGCCTCACCATCACCCAGCCTGCACTGCAGCTCACACCTCACAGCTCTGGTCCCCTCGTGTTCCTTGTCCCTCTAACACAGGGGGTGGCTCAGCTCAGACTGTGGGGACAGCTGTGACTGGCACGGTGGGGAGTCCAGCAAAGTAGTTTGGGCAAGGGTGGCCCTCAGCCAACAACTCTCTGCTGGCCCCTCAGGCCTGCTGTCCCCTGACACACAGGACAGCCACAGCCACCTGCAGCGCCTCCACTCACAGCCTGGGCCCCCACGGACTGCGCAAGCCCCGTGCCCAGCCCACGAAACCCCACGCAAACGAGGGGGCTGTGTACAACAGCCCAGGCGTGCACAACACCTCACTGATCACATTGATCTGACACTGCATCAGTCAGGAGAGCTCAGAAAATCCACGTTTCCATCGTCAGGGACAGCCTGCAGAAGGGCAGGTTTGGTGACAGTGAGCTCCGAGCTCCGCACTGTGGGACCCCGCGGGGCCCTGGAAGGTTTCCCCGAGGATCAAACAGCAGCTTCACACCAGCAGAGCCCACCTGATGTGGGACACATTTGTCAGTTGTGCTTTTGACTCTCCATAAAGAGGAAGTCAATGAATTTCCCACCAGCAAGGACACGAACGGGTGGTTTCATGGATTACAGACTCCAGCTCAAGACAAGAGCTACTTACCAACAGCACAAAAAGTGAAACAAAGAGAAGAAAGTACAGCAACAGCAAGGGCCTGAGATGTTTAAGAGGCTCAAATTCACTTCTGTATCTTGATAATTGACAGCAGGGGCAGATTTTGTACATCCATGCTGTATTCTACCACTGCTGAATCGCATTTTCAGAATTCAGAACGATGTCATTACTTTTTGCTCCGGGAGATTACAATCTGCACTTTTATTCTCTCCACAGGTAACTTCAGGTGAAGTGCATCTGTGAAAGGGATCCCTGGATCAGAGACAAAATTACCAGCACTGTAAGAAGCACTTATAGCCCCCTTCTCCTCAGAAAAAATGTTCTTCCACGCAGGGTCTAATCTTACTGAGAGTTCTGTTGCTGTTAGCATATCTAAATAAAAATACATTCTTCAACTTGTTAACTGTTGATGGAAGTGCATCCAGGCTGAATCATTAAAGATCAGAGTTCACATACTGACAGCAAGAAAAATAATTTAAGAAGGAAACCAAAATATGTGGGTTTTTACCACAAATCAGATGTGGACTTTTACAGACCCCAGGGAAGGAACACAACCAGCCATAGCACTGTCATTCATATTTGGCAGAAGTAAAGACAAATTATGATTTTGCAGTTACCTTTGCCAGATAAGGTTTAAGGATTGCAAGAAAAATAGCAATGTTTTTCACTTCCGTAAGAAAAATTTATGTTCAGGCGAGAACAGGGTTCAAAAACCCAGAAATGACAGGAGGAAAAGATATATTATGTATATTATTTTAAAAACATGTATTGAAATACAAAAAAAAGAACTCGCTTACATGGCACTGGCAAAACCAAACTGGAAGTAGAACCTGGTGTGCCCACTACCTCCTAAACACCACAAAATCAACAAGAACTCTAAATGCAAACACAAAAATTCAGCCAATTAGAATTGGCCATGACAAGAAGTTCTGGCTTGAAAACTTCTCATTTGAAATATCTGACCAGATAAATATTTAAAGCATATTAACTTGCTGAATATAAAGATCAGTAAAGTAATGAGCATTGTATCTGGGTATACCAAGCATCAAGTAAACCCTGAAGTGCAGAAAGTTAAAAGAATTATTTCAGGGAGTTTTGCCAGCTGTAAATCAGTTCTTAGATGTAATCCAGATCTATCCCCTAATAACACGGATTCTGGTTCTGACACACCGCAATGCTGGAAATGTGCAAGCTTTCCCTTTTTGCCCTTAAAACACAGTTGTGGATATTCCATAAAAAACAAACCGGAAGCCTATCCAAAGAGATCCCTGAAGTGCATGGTATCTATTTGCAAAGAATGGCAGGGAAACGGCATCAAAATAATCAGGGACTTGGTACAGAACACTTGGAATGTGCTCTTAAAATGAACACTGCTTCCTTCTTCCCACTGTAATAAATTCCTGGGTAACAATCAGCAATAAATAAGGGCGTTAAAGCAACCTCATAGTACTGCTGCTAAAATGAGAGAGAGGTTCTAAAACATCAGCATGAAGTGGAGGCTCACAAAGAACACTGCTGCAATAAAAGCAGCTTTACTGATGTTGACAAAGTTATTTAGTACTCACCGGAGTCCAGTCTCTCAGGATAAATCTGAATCAGGGTAAATCTGAATCCCAGGATAAATCTGAAACATTCCTCTTCAACAGCAGCCCTCCTGCCCCCTTCCCTCAGCAGCACATTAGTTCAGAAGGAGATGGGGCTTATAGCTCCTTGTTAGTACATTTTTTACTCCCACAAATCAGGTAAAAAAAAAAAAAAAAACAACAAAACCCAAACCCCAAAACACAACAAAAATCGTCCCTGTGCCTTACCTTTATCCATTTAAGATGAACTGTAGGTTTTTGAATCCTGCCTTCATTAGCTTTGAGCAGGATGAGTTGTTTGGGCACTGAAAACCCACCGTGCTTTAAATGCACGTCACACACACAGCACTACCTGGTTGCCAGGCACAATCCTCGCTGCAATTAACAGCAAGAAGAACAGTAAAGGCTCCAAGACACCCTCCTCTTGTTATGTGCACTGTTTTCAAACTGCTTTTTAAACAAGTCACATTTTGCACGTTGGAGAGGTCCCTGCAAGGCTGTCTCCCCTATGGGAGGGACCCCCATGGGAACAGGGGGAGGACTCAGAGCTGAGG